TTCCCTACTGCTGTCCATTTCTCGTGTTTTGCAGTTATGGAGATGCCAAGTTTCACATGTTCTGCTTGATCTAGACATCTCCTTGTATTCTGTTAACTGGGATCTTTCCATAGTAGTCTAACTCATTGCTTTAGGTCCATTTCTGGTTTCTCTACTCTTCTTCCAAAGAGCCTGAGAGTTTTATTGTGTTTGGCATTAAGGACATTTGCTGTTGCTGGCCTTCACCTTTCCCTGATGGCGCTTTTGCAGCCTCAGCAGCTTGGGGTTCTGCCCCTGTCTTGGCATTACTTTCTCTCCAGTTGGACGTGGTAGTCCCAAGCAGTTGAAAGGGTGCTAAAATCGGATCAGGAAGCCTCTGATAGGAGAGAGGAATTGATGGCAATTTTGGTCCTAGGTGTGACATTCCCATCTGGAGAGATGCAGCAGCAGCTGGTCAGCTCTTTGTACAGTGAAAGCAGTATCAAACCTGGAGAAGTGGAGTATGTTGAAGCTCATGGGACAGGCACCAAGGTCAGCTTGGCCCCTTTGGGTTTGGAGTGTTTTCTTCCTTATTTTCTTCCCTTGCATGACCTGTCACACTTTACCATCAAATTATTCTTTGTTTTTGCAACATGAACTATTATTTCTCCCTTCTGGCAGTTACTAGAATGTGCACTGCTTCACCTCTTCTGATTTTCTCAGTCTTTCAGATTTCTCGTTTTTGTTGTGTTTTGGAAGTGCTTGCTAATAGCCATTCTGATTCTTTTCCTACTAGGTTGGAGATCCACAGGAAGTAAATGGCATTGTAAATGTCTTCTGTCAATGTGAGAGAGAGCCACTATTGATTGGATCAACCAAGTCAAACATGGGTCACCCAGAGCCTGCCTCTGGGCTTGCCGCATTAGCCAAGGTAACAAGTGGCTTGAGAGGGAAAATTGAGGAGCGAGGGGAAACACAACAGTGTGTGGGTTTTTTAATGATTGTTTGTTTTAAGGAAAATTTGCACTGATCCAGGATAAGATGTTCACTGGTAATGAGAAGAACTCAGGTGATTTTAATGAATTATCTACTTCTTGCTTCATCTGCAAATACTTCTAGAAGCTCAGGTGGCTGTTCTGCAAGCTGGACACAGATAAATGCCCAGGTGCCCTGTGCTGTGTGCTCACACCAGTGTGTGCATGCATGCACGCATGTGCGCGCACACACACACTTTAGTTCCCCCTTCCTGCTGGATTTTTACAGGAGCATAACTGCTCAGAATAAAGGCTTTGGGATCACTTTATTGATTATCCTTATGCTGGACGTTCCAACAGAACTCTACTGTAAGTCATTTGGGTTTCAGAGGCATACAAATAGAGGGATTTAAGTGTTTGGAGTAGTTGGCAATGACCGAAGATAAGAGGCAGTGTAGGCTTTCAGTGCCAAAAGAGTAGCTGATCCTTCTGGCTGTTTGTCAGGGATGTATCATCTCTTGCTTGCTTCTCTTATGTTGGAAAGATGCCAGGTGAGCTCTTTGGGTTGAGGCTGCCGGCTTGAATAACTGGTTGTCTTAGCAACCAGCCCGTGAACTGTTGCTGCGGGCAGACAGTCATCTATTGGCTCTGGCTGCTAAACTGCTTAGCAGAGAGCTGGCTAATGTACACACTCGGTTGTAAGCTTATTACTGACAGCCTTAGAGCCATGCAAATTGAAGTCATGTACACTGTCACTGCTAGAAATTTAGGCTGTTTAAAGTGGTTATTGTGACCTGAATACATAGCTTGTGGTGAATAGGCTCATTTGCAAATAAGTCATGGAGACAGCAGTGTCCGACAGTCTGTGGAGGAAAGTTTACTTTTTTTTTTTAAGCACCTCTGTCTCTCAGACTGACACCTTCTTTATAGAAGAAATGATAACCAAGTCATAAAATGAACCACTCGATCCCTGCTGTGGTGTACATTATAAACAGTTTGTTTAGTGCAGTTCTGCTGTGGCCTGTCAGGACAGGATCATAACTCTGAGGTACTGTTTCCCTGTCTGCGTTTCTTGGGGAGTGAAGCATTGCAAAGACAAGGGCCACAATTTTATTTTGAAGACTTCTCTGACACCGTGTTTTCTCGCTTTTTCATCAGTTTTCTCACTTAGCTATGTATCGGGAGAAGACCTTTGCTGCAGGCAGGAGCGCATGACACTCATCGTGCCTGCAAAAATATCTTTGTGCTGTGCTTTTGTTAAATTGTGTTAGGTCTCATTTCCAGATCTGGCATCTTGAAAGCACCTGAAGCTTTGGAAGGGTATTGGAAGCTCTGTCTTTGTTCTCGATTCTTTGAAAGTTGGGCAGCAGTTGGTATTTTAAGAGTTGGAAGTTGATCAGACATCCATGAGACCGAGCCAGAAACTACAGCAAGCCCGCTGTCTCTTAGACAGTAACTCTCTTGGGAAGTCTGCAACTTTCACAACTGTTTTCTTTTGGAATTCCTTAGAATGCTCTTATGTGAGACGTCAGCTAGTGCAATAGATTTTGAAAGCGTCCCGTTTCAGACTTGGAAGAGAATCCATGTAGATAGATCGGAAAGAAACAAGGGCTTGCAAAGGCCACTTCAGTGCAGTTGTGGTAGGTTAGGGAAGACTCTGAACCTCCTGTACCTTTGAACTACTTAACCTGTGTAATTACTTGCTGTGCAGCAAAGACAAAACTTCATGGCTCTGGTGTACGTTCCTGTACTGTACTCTCAAACTTGTGTAGAAACAATGACAGACTTAAAAGTACAAATATGTATGCTTTGTAAAGCAACAGCAAGTTTATAGTGCATAGCGTTGCAGGTGTAGGACAGTGTGCATGAAAATACTTAGATTACAACATTAAACACGGTGACTGGCTTTGAAATCATGCACTTAACGCGTGGCTGTTCTCCCAGGTAGGCTGCTGTGTCTGATAGTCAACTTGGAAGAACAGCTCCCAAACCAATATCTGTTTCTCTGACCATTTTGGGTTGGTGAAGGAGCTGCCAGATATACAGAGCACAGAGTGTTTGCAACTGATCTTGTAGTCTGGTTTGCTGGACTTGTACCATAGAGGAGTATGAGCTTGGTGTCATGATCTGTTTGTAGAGGTGCTGCTGAGAGAAAGGAGCTCTTGTTTTTTTGGCACAGCTATTAGAACTTTTCACGCTGTTTCGATACTTCCCTTTGGCTCTGCCAGTTCTGACCAGTCTGGTGTTCCTACTTCTTTTTTGATCAAGAAGACAAGAAATGAGTGCAAAGCAGTAAGCAGACTCCTTTACCAGTGCTTCAGCTTGGCTTTTTTGCAGCAAAGGCAGAAATGGAAGCATTAGTTGTGATAAGGAAGAGCACGTGTGACTGAGGAGAGATGAAGCAGAGTGTGATGAAGGGACAGGATCTGAAAGGGGAGAAAGAAAATGTGATATTCTTAGCCAGAGTGCTTTTCCAGCAAGATTGCATGGCTTTCTAGTCAGAAAGGGTGTGGAAGCTAAACTTAAAGCTACCACCCTCACTTTCACTGCTGGCTTCCTGCATGGACTTAAAATTTGCCTAGGTAAGGTAGGTACTGCCTCAGTAACATCAGTAATGTTACTCTCTGAAGTGTTTATCCAAACATAGATAGAGCTGCTTCAGTGTATGCAACGTGGTCATTTATAGTAAAACAGTAACAACAAAGGAATGTTTGTTACCAGAAAAAACGTGGAGCGCAGAACACTCTGTTTTTCGTTCCAGGTCATTCTCTCTCTCGAACATGGGCTGTGGGCTCCAAATCTTCATTTCAATACCCCAAATCCAGATATTCCTGCCTTACAAGATGGCTCTCTGGAGGTAGTTTGTAAACCAACGCCAGTGAAAGGTGGCCTTGTCAGTATCAACTCTTTTGGCTTTGGAGGTGCTAATGCTCATGTCATTCTAAGGCCAAATAAGAACAGATGCCAGCCTCTGGAGACTTGTAACACGCCAAGACTGGTTCAACTTTGTGGCAGAACCCAGGAAGCTGTGGAAATACTAATTCAAGAGAGCAGAAAACATGGAGGATGCAGCCCATTTGTAACCCTGCTCAGTGATATCTCTGCAGTTCCTGTGTCCTCCATGCCCTACAGGGGCTACACACTGGTTGGCACTGAGAACGACATCAAAGAGGTTCAGCAAGTTCAAGCGTCTGGCAGACCGCTCTGGTACATCTGCTCAGGTAGGTGTGCAGCAGTGGGTCCAGGCTTCTGCATTCCTCTGCAGATCTGGGGTTTGAGCAGTTGGGCCCTGCACGCGCATGTTGTTTTCCGCTCTAGCACAAGGAAATATCTCGCAGCCCTGTGATATGTATAGGAGGGGCTTATGTTTTGTGTGTTTTATCTAATCCTTCCAACTTTGCTGTCTTCCGATGATGGCAAAGTCCAGTAAAATAAAAAGCAGTGTCTAATTTAGAGGATGTTAGAGATGTACAATGTTTTCCTCTTAGAATTCCTTCGCTGCCAGAGCAAGTGTGTGATGTCTGCCACATTTATGGAGCGTTACTAGAGGTCACTTTCCCCTTCCTATCCTGCAGGCATGGGAACACAGTGGAAAGGTATGGGCCTGAGCCTCATGAAGTTGGATTTGTTTCGTCAGTCTATATTGCGCTCAGATGAGGCTTTGAAGAGCACAGGCCTAAAGGTCTCGGACCTGCTTCTGCAAGCAGATGAGAACACTTTTGATGACACTGTCCATGCATTTGTTGGACTAGCTGCTATTCAAGTAAGATGGGGGTCATGGACTCGGCCTGCGTAAGCATGCTCTGCTAGTGTGTTTGGCTGATAATGCTATACCGATTAATGGCAGCTCTTTTGTGTAATCAGCAAATGGCAGCTGTTTGAAATATCTCCCTGATAGGAGGGAGTGTGTTGCGTCCTTGACAGTTTTGGGCTCTGCCACTTGCAAGATGCTTGGACAAGTAATGATCTAAACTGATTTGCGTCTGTATCTATGTGTATATGTGGGGCATTTTCTCCTTTTAAGAGACTAAGGAATGTTTGTGCCAAGGAACAAGGTTCTCTAGAACTCCTTCTAAAATCTGTTCTGCAAATAAACTAAGTGATGCTAAACGAAGTATTTTTCAATTCTGAGTTTCAGTGTGGGATTCATTGTTTCTTAATAAACTAGAGGCAGAGCTTTTAAAGAGATCTGGGAAACTGGTCTTGCCTCTTACTTTGTACAGACGTGCTCTTGGCTACCTCCTGTTGTTGGAAGTAGCTTCTTAGTGGAAGCTACGTAAGTAGAGAGGCCCAAATGATACTGGAGTCACGTAGAGATTCTTAGGATTGCTTTCCTGGAGGGGGAGAGCAGTGAGGCCAAGATGAATGTCTGTACCAAAAAGCCATTTTGGAATGTACTCACTTCTGCTGTATGCCTCTTGAGGCCTGACACCTGCTCACTCCAGCTGGAGTCACTGATCCTGCTTTTCCTTGCAGATTGCCCAGATCGATATGCTGAAAGCTGCAGGTCTGCAACCTGATGGGATTTTGGGCCACTCAGTGGGAGAACTAGCTTGTGGCTATGCAGACAACTCCTTAAGTCACGAAGAAGCTGTTCTTGCTGCTTACTGGCGGGGGCGATGTGTTAAAGAGGCCAAATTGCCCCCAGGAGGAATGGCTGCTGTTGGTAGGTATACCCTTACCAAAAGAGCAATACAGGAAAGTATATCTGATCCGTTGTATGGCATTGGGATGAAGTGGCTCTGAAATAATCTGTAAAATTTTGGCTACTGTTGCCTCCTCTTTTGATGTAGAACAGGTTATTAAAGTTGATATAATGGTAGTAATCTGTGACCTGGAATATAGCAGAATTTTGGTAGGCCATCCAAAACTAAGTGAAAATGGAAAGATTTATTGACGGGGGACCAATGACAGAGGCCTGATGAGTAATCCTCTTGAACAGAGAGGTGAAAATCTAAGGCACTGGGTTTTTTGGCTTTCTCTGTATACGTGTGTGTGCGTACACAAACATGTAAATGTCTAAATTACTTTAGAAAAGGAGAGAGTTTTCCAATTGTCTACTAGACTAATGAGATGTGAAACCAGAAAGCCACTATTATGTAGGGGTCAACTGGCTAGTGGAACTTAACGCCGTTAGAACTTACTTGAGCCTGAGAGCACTTAGGAAGAAACTTTCTCCTGCACAAACTTTGCTCAGTGTTTCTATAAGTCACAGTTTTGTCCACTGTTGGGTGAAATTTTGAGCTTTGGGCCCAACAGTTTTTCTTTGTGGTACAGCTTCATGGTGACTTATGTGTTTAAAAATAAAATTATTATTGGTAGAATTGTTGTTCTTCTGTTCCTTACTATTGGATGCAGTGGTCAATTAAAAACTGAAGCACTTCAGAGAAAAGCTGTTGCAGGTCTAATGCAGTATGTTTCACTAGATCACTTGTTGTAATCCTAGACTTCCTACTTTTAACTAGTACTGCAAAGGTCTACCTACCTAATTTAGCTTCATTTTCCTTGATATTAAGTATATAGTACTCTTATCACAGAACTTACCTCAGAATGCTACGTACATGTTTTTCATAATCTGATGTTGAGTTCAAGCTCTTCCTGTGACTTGTATCCTGTGTATGAAGTATATGACCAGAAGCTGCATGCGTTAAGCTAGTTTAAGCCACTAGAGTTGTTGATGGATATTTTGTGGCTCTTGGTTTCTGTGAGTCAAGCTTGCGTGTTCTTTCTCCTGTTCTAGCTTGGGATTGCTGAGGGCAAGATGAGACAAAACAACCAATTCTGTAGCTTCTTTGAAAGTGTCTGGGTTCCCCCCATCCCTTAATGGGATGTTACAGAGATTCAGTCCTCTGTTCCTGTGCTCTGTATCACAGTGAGAAATCTCATGTTAGAGTCCTGAGATAGATACCCTTAGCTTTTGTTGAATCACTTCTGGAAAAGGGGGGAAGTCTGTCTTTCTCTTAAGAATCCTTCTCAGTTTGACAAAATGCTGAATTAAATGCAGTGACTGTGCAGTTAAGATTGCCTCCCCTTGTGAGGCGCATTGCTAGACGTATTTGAGTTGTCCTGAGATCTTCCTTCTGCAGGTCTGACGTGGGAGGAGTGTAAGCAACGCTGTCCTCCAAAGGTGGTCCCAGCCTGTCACAACTCTGAAGACACTGTCACTGTTTCAGGGCCTCTGGTGAGCAGGGAACTGGTGGAGTGTGTACTGGGATTGTGACCAGGACCTGTGAAGTTGTGGCTCGAGGAAAGTGTGAAGCAGAGTTAACGCTCAGCTGCGTGCAAGAGAGTGCTGGATTAAAGTGGTGGGAGGGGACTTGGTGCTTTGTATACTCTTAAGGACTCAAATGTTTTGTGAGAGGGAGTGATGTTAGTGCCCCTCAGTAAGCTAGTAATGAAAGATCTCTGATGCTGAATAGTTCTATAGCCATGGGCATAATGAGTGATAAATTCTAAGACTGTGAAGGGCAATAACCTCATCCCAAATATGTCTCCCCTGAAGGGGCAAGTGATGAGGGGCATGGGGAGAATACAGTGACTTGTACAGATCCCAAATACCTTGTAAACTTTTAAGTTTAGTTCACTTATATTCCTCTTCTTAGGACTCTGTGAATGAGTTTGTAGCCGAACTGAAGAAGGATGGTGTGTTTGCAAAGGAAGTGCGCAGTGCTGGCGTTGCATTTCATTCCTATTACATGGCCTCTATTGCACCAGTGCTGCTCAGTGCCCTGAAAAAGGTAAAATTGCCAAACTATGGCTCGCATGGCTTAGCTCGGGCACCTGGATTTGAGTGTAGGTGGTGCTGAGCTTACGGAGGTTCCTTCCTTTAGAAGGAGAGGGAAATCTCTTGAAAAGCACGTAGGCCTCTGTGAGAACTAAGGTTTGAAGTCCTCTGGCCTGAAGCAGAAGGATGTCCTGAGCAATCAAACTGAGAAAAAATGGCCTGCGAAAAGGAGGGGCTGCTTGCTTTTGCTTGTCTTATGTTACCTTTTACGTGTAACCCTTCCTCCTGTCCCTCTTGCTTGACTGTCTGTAGGTCATTCCGCGCCCTAAGCCTCGTTCAGCACGATGGATCAGTACATCTATCCCTGAATCTCAGTGGCAAAGTGATCTGGCGAGGAATTCCTCTGCCGAGTATCATGTGAACAACCTGGTGAATCCAGTGCTCTTCCACGAAGGTCTGAAACATGTTCCAGAGAACGCTGTTGTGGTAGAGATTGCTCCACATGCTCTTTTACAGGTATTGTATTTGATTGTGTCAGTATGGTGTTATATTGATATACTGCTGCAGGAAGGAGACTGAAGGTCTGAGGACTAGGGAATACTGCCTTCCTTGCCCTTTCCCCCTTCCTTCTAAGAACACTTCCTCCAGTACTTCTGAGTCTCTACCAGCTGTAATATTTTCTTGATTTTTTTTTTTGGCGTGATTTTTTTTTTTTTTTAATTGGGGGGCAGGGGTGTATGTTAATTTTTTAAAAAATAAAAAATTCCCATACACTACCACTTCCGCCTCCAGCCATTCACACTGTTACCTTTATTAGTTGCCGTGCATTTCAGATAGCCAATAGTCAGCTTTCTGAAATGTGCAATGAGTAAGAAAACAATACCATTCGATGTAAGGGAGAGTATATGTGAAAGTTGAGGTGGGGGAAGAAATTAAAGACTAACAGGCCTTCTCTGTGGAAAAAAAATCGATTATCACCACCTATACATAGAATTTGGTTTGAGGTTCTTGTCCTAGCAGGTAGTGGCTGGTAGTGGTGTTTCGCCTTCTCCTAGACAAAGTGGTAGTAGAGAGACCACAGGAGCTTGCTTTCTTCATAAATTAATTTCCCTTAATGATCAGATCGTTACTCCTTTCTCCCCACCTCATTCGACTTGATCTTTGTGGCATTAGCTCCATAGTAGAGGATGTAGAACATGTACTTGCTCCACATGATCAGTGCTGTGGTCTTGTGCCTGTCCCTTCAGTCTCAAGGACTGGTCTTCTTTATTTGGTCTGTGGTGTACAAGAGTCTTAAGAAGAATCATAGTTACTTGCAAATCAAGTTTAATAGTTCTACAGTGCTTCTGAGTTCCAAACTAGCGTGTATTTATTATGTCATGTTAGTCTTATTTATGCTTTAAAGTCACTTGAAGGGAGAATTAGAGCAGAGCTTTTAAATGAGACAGATATTTTTCTTTATAACGCTTTACACATCACGTTAAAATCATTGTACAGTTATGGACTCTAAGACTAAAGACTTCATCAGCTGGGTTTGGGAGTGCTCTGATTTTTTTTCTTCCCCCTCTTCCATCTCCCATTTAAAGACTGGGGGCTCCACAGTTCAAGAGGACATACAGTTTGGGTTGGATGATCAGGGCTGTGTTTTTTGATTTAGTAGCTGTCTCTTGGAAAAAGCTCTAGGATGCTTCAGACTCAAAAGGACTGCATTTGGGAGTGAGGGCCTATAAGGTGTGTGCGGGGGCATGTGTGTGCGCGCGAGAGAGAGTGGGAGGCTCAAGAGGGTGATCTTGCCGTTCTTGAAGTGCAGCTTTAGATTCCACCTGTCAATCTGCTTGGGAAAGGGAGATTTGTGTTTTGGCAGAATTTAATGAATTTTACGCAGGTTCTGCCTTACCAGATGTGCAGCTTCTTGGGTTGCTGGAAGGGTATTGTGCTGGTCTTGCTCTTCCCCGTTAAAATGGTTCTAGCACCTAGCACAGAACTCTTGACACAGCAGCAGAAGTGATTTGAGATATATAGAGAAACTCGGAGACAAAGTAGGAAGTAATGCCTTCTACCAATGACTTATGGACTCTACTTGACCAGGCTATCTTGAGGAGAACTTTGAAACCAACTTGCACCATTCTACCTTTGATGAAGAAAGAGCACAAAAATAATTTGGAGTTCTTCCTAACACAGATCGGAAAGATTCATTTAACTGGGTAAGGAGACTTAAGGGAGGAGGGTGAGTGGGGTATCAGGAGAGAATTCAGGTCTCTTCTCTAGCATGCATGTCTTCACAAGGATTGAAATACTCCTTCAAGAAACTTGGGCAAAGAAATGGGATGTACATCTGTGTTTTACATGTTTAACATGCTGTTATGAAATGCTGCCTTGGGTTAGAGACTACTTGGGCTGGGAAGGTACCTTTTAAAGAGGGAGTCCCATTTTAGATGCCTAGGAACCTGGACCTAGCTCTTGGAAAAAAAATTGCATCTTGTAGACTGTTAGAATTACAAATTTGGCTGCAGTAAGTGTTCATGGTACTCCTGGAGAAATCTCAGACATGGAGCCCAAGACCAATTACTGTCTGACCTCCAAGTATTCTGGTCACTTCCCTCCCAGTGCCTTTTTTTTTAATCCCACTCCCTTCTGCTCCCTGCACCACGCACACTGTCTTGATCCTTTTTTGTCTTCCTAGGATAAATGTTCTTGGAAATAACTTGTTCCCACTTGTGGAATACCCTGTCCCAGTGGGAACACCCCTTATTTCTCCATGCATCAAATGGGACCATAGCCAGGACTGGGATGTTCCAAAAGCTGAAGACTTTCCAGCAGGTTCCAAAGGCTCTGCATCTGCTTCGGTCTACAATATTGGTGTGTTTGTCTGGCTTTGTTTTTGTTTTTCTTTCTTTGATTGTCTCTTTCCTGCTTTACCATTGCATTTCTTTTGTAAAACTAGGAAAAGGATACTCAAAGCAGCATCCTTGAAGGCATCTTCTGAAGCTTAATGTTTGGTTTAATTTGGATTTAGAAAGACTGGATCTGCTTCTGAAACAAGATGAAAGAATGTGAATAGAGAAGTAAACTATCTTGATTCAGACTCAGAATATATTTAAGAGCTGCATGTTGCCAGGCAGGAGAGTTTGGGAAACCACTACAACCTCTTGTGGACATTGAGGAGAAAATACCTCTTTATTAGCATACCTCTTTATTAGCATGTTTTTATTTTTACTCTGCTTTTTATTTTTCAACAGATGTGAGTCCTGACTCTCCAGACCACTACTTGGTTGGTCACTGCATTGATGGCAGAGTCCTGTACCCAGCAACTGGGTACCTGGTACTGGCTTGGCGAACTCTGTCACGGTCTCTTGGCATGGCTATGGAGCAAATGGCTGTTACATTTGAAGAAGTCACAATTCATCAGGCAACTATCCTTCCCAAAAAGGGTGAGTGAGAAATGTTGGTTCAGCTGCAAAACTGTAATGAAGATGAAGGGGGTGGGAGGAAAGAAATGCAAGGGGAAAGTGAGGAGGAACACAGGAGAGAATATAAAGAAGAGTGCAGCATGACTGAACAAGGAATTGAATTCATGCAGTCAGGTAGCACACGCTGTGGTCGTGTTTATTATGTCCTGCGCACAGTGAGTCTGCAGATGGTGAAAGAGAAGACTCTGCTTGGAGATGGTAGCAATGAATGATCTCACAGCCCTGTCTTCCTCAATGTTTCTTGCAGGATCAGTACAGCTGGAAGTAAGACTCATGTCTGCTTCCAACTGCTTTGAGGTGTCAGGGAATGGGAATCTGGCTGTGACGGGTAAGTGAAGGAAGTTAAGTGTATGCACTGTCCTACTAAAATCCATTATTTATGGCCACTGATGTTACTTATTCTTGCTGCTGTGCCCATCAGGGAAGATTTCCCTTCTAGAAAATGCGGCTCTGAAGAACTTCAATAACCAGCCACTTGACTTTCAGACTCAAGTAGACACAAGCTCAAGGTCTGTCCTCCTTAAAGAAGACATTTACCAAGAGTTACATCTGCGTGGATATAATTATGGACCAACTTTCCAGGGCGTTCTGGAATGCAACTGTGAAGGTAAATTTACTTTCTATAGAATGATGAGCATCGTTACTGTAATGATGAACGTTTGATCTTTTCATTGTTTGAATTAACGGTCCACCGGACTGTGTTTTGTGTTGGTAATTATACATTGTGTGATAATGGAGAGCAACCAAGAGTTCTGACAGAGCATGGGGAAAGTTGTTATCTCCAATGCAGAACCCACTATTGGAGTTTACAGGGGAAGCTGGATACATACAGCAGACTTTGCATTTGAAAAGCAGTGACTTCTGGCATCTGCTGCATGACAAAATCAGTGAAGCTTCCCCTTCCTCTTTTGCAGCAAGTGCAGGGAAGGTTCTGTGGAATGGGAACTGGGTCACCTTCCTTGACACCCTGCTACACGTGATAATCTTAGCAGAGACCGGGCGCAGTCTACGCTTACCCACCAGGATTCGCTCAGTGTGTATTGACCCAGTGCTGCACCAAGAGCAAGTGTGCCAATACCAGGACGATGTAGAAGGTAATGTCTCTTGTGCTTGGGCTTTTGCTGGTTGCTTTGACTGCTGTGTGGATGAATGTATGACTTCCTAAGAAGTAGGGATGGACTCTGTGGGACCCTCTTAGTCTCCAAGCCTTTCTGTAGCTCTGTAACAGAAGCTGCTATTCTCCAGCTTCTGTATCAGTCTGACAACACTATTCATCTGATCACCTTGAATAAAATAATTGTAGTGTTTGATGCAAACCTGCACTTTTTTTCTGACTTTCAGCTTTTGATGTTGTTGTGGACCGCTGCCTTGACAGTCTTCAAGCAGGAGGCGTTCAGATCAGTGGTCTTCATGCCTCTGTGGCACCACGACGACAACAGGAACGGATCCCCCCCACCCTGGAAAAATTCTGCTTTGTGCCCTATACTGAGAGTAACTGTTTGTCTTCCAGTGTCCCTCTTCATGCCTATCTGGAGCACTGCAAAGGTAGAGTGGGGTTGGTTTCTTGTCACACTAAGGAAGCCTTCCAGCCTGACAGAAGTGCCTGAGAGAAGCTGTTAATGCTGCTTCAGAGCATCTAAGACATAACGTGTTCATCTCTGTAGAAGATTTCAGCAGGAGTCCTATGTCTGTACACTTGCTAGAAGCTAAAACCTACCTCTGTGTGAGGTATCTCTAGAATGTGGGTAGAAGTAAAGCTGTGGACAGGGGCATCTACCCTTCTTTAACAGCTATGCAGTGTCAGATGATGCAACGCCCTCTGCAAGCAGAGAGGCACAAATCATCTTCTTTAAGGAGAGATCCAGCCTAGTTGCTTCAAACGCTGACATAAAGGGCCTGATTCCTTGAATCTAGCTTTCTTGTTTTGTTTTTCCCTGAAAACTGCTGAGACGGGGAGATAACCTGCCTGTTTCTTGTTTGGTTGTGAGCACAAGAGCATATCCAGGGAGGGAACGTGGCTTAGTAAACACCAGAGAAAAGTTTGTGTTTGCTGCAAGACAAGATTAGGCGCAGCTTAGTCTGTTGTGAAACTGGTAGTCCAGTACAGTACTCTTTGAATGGGGAGATATCCATTCAGCTCATCTCTTTAAGTTGTTTGGGTTTGTTGGGTTGGTTGTTTGTGTTTTTGGTTTTTTTTTTGTTTTGTTGTTCAATTTTTTTCAAGTTTTTACTCAGCTGGTGAATTTTGCTATATCTTGAGACAGCAGTTTTGTCAGTGTCCAAATACTGTCCCCAAAGTTTCTTACATATGGGATTTTTATGTTAATTTTTTTTTTGTAATGCTGTTTCTGATCTCAGTCAGGATGAGCTACTTTCCATCTGGTTATATAGCAAAAATGCACTTTAGAATTTTTTTCTATCTGCAGAAATTTAGAGTTTCCCTCTACAACTCTCTAAATCACTTAGAAGTATTCTGTTAGTTGCCCTCTTTCAGTCAATCTTGCAATAGATAAGTTTGGTGGTTTAGACTGTCTTGCTACAAACCTGATTTGTTGGGGGGCTGTGACTACTGCATAATATGTAGTCATACAGGAGCACGCACTGTATCTTTGTGGCTAGGTTAATGACACAAGATGCTGTAGTTTGCAGTGCTGATCAGCTGGTATAGCAAATGAGGACAAAGAGGAAAAGAAAAATAGGAAAATACTGGAAAATCTGACTCTTCCCTTCATTTAATCTTCTATTCCATAGATCTGATCAAGAGTTTACAGGCTAAGGTGGCAGTGCATGGGGTCAAGTTACTCATCCCTGGATTGGAAACTACAGTGGCTGCTGCAAAGTCCTCACCCATACAGAAGGGCCTTCAGCATATCCTCGCTGAAATCTGCCATCTGGAACTGAACGGAAACCTCCATTCTGAGCTGGAACAGATTGTGACTCAAGAGAAAAAGCACTTCCAGGACGATCCTCTTCTCAACGGGCTGCTAGATTCTTCAGAGTTGAAGACTTGCCTGGATGTGGCATTGGAGAACATGACCAGTCACAGGATGAAGATAGTAGAGGTTAGCTGGAAGCATGAGATGGGACCGCAAGTAGTGTTTCTAGGCCTTCCTGTGGCCTGGTGGCTTAGTTCTGTTGCTCCAGTTATCATTATGGATATCATTCATGTTTCAACTTGGCTTCTCCTTTTCCTTCCCCTTCTTTTCTCACAGGCTCTTGCAGGAAGTGGACATCTGTTCTCTCGCGTCACAAGTATTCTGAATGCTCAGCCCCTGTTGCAGGTGGACTACGTTGCCACTGACCGCATCCTGGAAACTCTTTCAGCTAATGAAATAGAGCTACAAGATGCTGGAGTTTCCTTTAGCCAGTGGGATCCATCTAGCCTTCCCTCTGGAAATCTGACCAATGCTGACCTCGTGGTATACAACTGTTCAACAAGTGTTCTAGGGAACACCACTGAAATTCTCTCTAATCTGGCAGCTGCAGTGAGAGAAGGAGGGTTTGTTTTGCTGCACACCCTTCTTAAAGGAGAAACTCTTGGAGAAATTGTCAGTTTCCTTACAAGTCCAGATCTGCAGCAGAAGCACAGTTTCCTGAGTGAGGTAAGCCTCCTGGAAGGACAGACACTTCCTGAGTGGGTAGTCTGGAGTCTGCCGCATGCGAGCGCACTTGTGATGAATGTTGAGTGGACATCGCTTCCATCGCTGTCCATTGAAGCCCTGTGCAGAAATGTTGTAAACGCTTCTTCAGAAGAGAAGAGTTATGAATTTCTACATAGTAGGTTGGAAGAGTAAACTCTTGAGTTCAGTCAGGAAAGCCCTTTCTTAATGCATTGGAATGTATTCCTTGTCATTTGTCTATCTGTATAATCCATATGAAAATACTGGCCAGGACAGTTCCTTTATAACTAAAACAATGTGCTGCGTTGTTGGATGGGGTAGAGCTTTATCATAGTAGGATCCTAAAATGCTTCATTATCAGAATGTCTCTCTCTTCCTTTTGGTGTCAGTTTTGGAACGGAGACTTTACAAACCAAAGTTAAGTTCTAACATTAAAGTCCTCCCAGAAGGGAAAGCTTTTCTCTTGTACTTTGCTTTTTTTTTTTGCCTGCCTTGCTGATAACTTAAAACCTAGATTTGTCATAAGTGTTTGTAGCCTGGTATTAGCAAATCCCTTGGATGAGATCCGTGTGAGTTGTATGCGAGTTGAGTGCAACTTCTCTAAAGAAAATGATACGATGTGGATGAGAGTGGGCAGGACTTAATATAGCTCTTAAATTTTCTGGATAGGGACACTGTTCCTAGTCCTCCATATAAGTGATCGTGCTGTAAAAACCTTTTTCTTTTTTGTCTGGCATGCAAAAAGCAGATGGATTCTTTTCTAAGAGGCTGCAGTTATCTTTATTTCATTCAAATAGCATAGCCTCAATATTTCTATATATGCCACACATGCATTTTCATTCTCTAGTTTTTCTGAAATGCTCTTTCAGTGTAACTTATGTGTATAGGTGTTCTGTGCTAGTAGTTGGTTGCTTCTCCCCAGCTCCCTGCAGCTAAAGGATTTGAGTGACTTGGTTTTTCATGTTTCCTCTGTCCTGCTTTACTTTTTCTGTTGCAGACAGGGCTTTTGAGACACAGACTGGGAACATCTTGTTGTGTTCACTTCTGTTAGTTTCTCTGTTGGAATCTGTGCATTGTGTTTGTCTGTAGAGGTGTGCCTTACTGCTGGAATTAAGGTCTAGACACGTTCAAATGACCTGTGAGATTAGACAGCATGGCCACTGCTCTGTTTTTTGCCCCCCAGTAGTGTGGTAAGACTAGGTCCCTTACCAGGGGTTCAAGATACTCATGCAACTGCTTTCTGAGGATGTTTTAGGGAAAAAGGAATAGTCTAGACATGGATAAAATACTTTTGTTAGTCAAATATATATTTGTACTGAGACAATACAGAAGAGATGCCAAGATTTCAAGGAAAAGCAGGCAAAAGGTGGAGAGTGCCTGTTCCTGGTGAAGCAGTCTTTGAGGAGACTCAACATGAAGTGTAGATATGACTTATTTTTTAATTGACTTTTGTCTTCCCTGTTAATTATTGTTTTACCTGATTTGACAGGCACAGTGGGAGGGCTTATTCAGCAAAGCCTCACTGAATGTGGTTGCCATGAAGAAATCTTTCTTTGGCTCAGTTATTTTCCTGTGTCGCCGGCAAGCCTCTGCCAAAACGCCTGTTTTTCTGCCAGTAGATGAGACCCATTATAAGTGGGTTGAATCCTTAAAGGTAAGAATTTCTGTGTCCCGTATATCTGAATTTCCAAATCATTACACTTTTTAAATGAGATATTTAGCAGCGTTAAAACAAGTGTGTGTGTGAGTGTGTGTTCAGTTTGTTTTCTTAAAATAGAAGTAATTAATCTCTGCCTTAAGGATACTGGGGCTATTTCCTTTCTGTGATTCCCAGTAAAACAGTTTGAGGTTTGTCCTGTAGGAAATCTTGGCTGACCCATTGGAGCAGCCTGTGTGGTTGACTGCCACCAGCTGTGGAAACTCGGGAATTTTGGGAATGGTAAACTGCCTCCGCCTTGAAGCAGAAGGCCACAGAATCAGGTACGTTAGCGTGCCCTTGAGTCACAGATGGAGATGAGATTTTTTTTTTTTTTTTTTTTTTTTGCATTAGCTTCTCTTCAGGTCTATAGCAAAACAAGCAAAATGACAACCCTTTCCTTCTAGGTGTGTGTTTGTTTCCAACTTGAACCCTTCATCAGATGTCCCACCTGTGAGTCTTTCTTCCCTGGAGATGCAGAAGATTGTTCAGAGGGACCTGGTGATGAACGTGTATCGTGATGGGAAGTGGGGCTCCTTCAGGCATCTCCCGTTGCAGCAAGGTGATTCCTTTGAGGCCTGAGGATCATGTGCAGGGCCTTGAGTCTGAATGGACTCTGAATAGAAAATGAATAGCTGTTGTTCCTACAATTATTTTTATTTTATTTTTGATGGGTAATTTGGAATGCTTCTGCTCCTGCTCAGAGTGAGCAGTCTCTGTTACCATGAGAAGGGCTAAGCTCTCTGGGATATGGGTAGTATTGCAGGGTAAGAAAGGACTCTCTGGAGAGCAAATGGAGGAGGAGGAGGAAGTAATTATACAAGGAATTTACTCACTCTGGAAAGCACGTGCCCGTGTTAATGTGCATGAAGTTCTTACTGTTCCTTCTTCTGCAGCACAACCTCAGGAGTTGACTGAATATGCCTATGTAAATGTGTTGACTCGTGGAGATCTTTCATCTCTTCGTTGGATTGTCTCCCCGCTTCAACACTTCCACACGACTAATCCCGATGTTCAACTCTGCAAAGTCTATTATGCATCTCTCAACTTCCGGGACATTATGCTGGCTACAGGGAAGCTTTCTCCAGATGCTATCCCTGGTGAGTTAAAATAAAAGGTATTGATATACTGCTCTTAGTATTTATTCACATAGTATCCTGAATGTTAGCTATGGACTGGCTAAAGCGTATATCAGTTTTTGTTTGGCAAGAAAACATACTTTTGAAAAGGCAGTATAGCCCTGTACTTGACTGTACAGCAGAAACTCATAGGTTTTACTTCCAGTTGCAGTCCCATTTTTCATATAGCAAAATTAAAAAACGAGGAAACATTACTAGCCCCATTGCATAGGTATCAAGTGTGAGGTGAAACAACTTGATGGAGGTTCCAGAGATGGGCAAGGCACATACCAAGGTGAGAATGTTGAAGCTTCATGCTGCCATGCTACTGAACATGCTTGGCTTTTATGGGAGAAAAACCAACGTGAAGTAATCTCCAGTCTACAAATTAAGGTGATAATATCTTGCCTTGCAGTCAGTTAAGAATTAATGTAATGTCTGTTAAATGGTTTTAAAGCTCCCTTTAAAGGAGAGGGGGAATGGAATATGTAAAAACTGTGTTCGGAGATTCTTACAGGTGACTTGACTAGGGCTGGCTTTCCCTTCATGACTGAGGTTAGTCCCTGCCTGAAATGAGACTTGGCAAAAATTAAGATTTCACAGTAAAGCTATTTTTGCTGTGATTTTCCTTTCTAGTTTATGTATCCTTCTTTTTTCAAGGAGGAACAGAAGTGCCTCTGAAATGTGATATATTCAATGAAATTTCTCAGATGAAAACTGAAAACTAAAGCAGTATTATCAGGGATAAAGAGTAAGATTAAATGAGACCAAGTCCTTTTCTGCTTTCTTGTAGCAGCTCCAATGAATCACTAAGTGTATGCATGATAGACAAATCCCATTATTTCTTCTGTCTCATGGGTTCCAACTTTCAGGAACTATTGTTGTAGTCAATTCTTGACTAAGGGATTTTAGCAGACAAATTTCCTTCTTAAAATGCACTGAATTTCTTTCAGGTAACTGGGTTCTGCAGCAGTGCATGCTGGGCATGGAGTTCTCCGGACGGGACCTGGCTGGACGAAGGGTGATGGGACTGCTGCCAGCAAAGGGGCTGGCCACAGTGGTAGACTGTGACAAGAGGTTTCTGTGGGAGGTGCCTAAAAACTGGTAGGTCAACTTCTCTTTTCGAGTTTGTGCATGTAGTTAAGATTTGCCTTTATGCCTGAGGCTGGTGACAGCCCCGATCAGACCCAAAGAGTGGATTATCCTCTGGGAAATGATAACAGGGCTGTAGTCTCCTGAGAAGCTCCAGGATTTGGCTTAGATCCACCGCAGGAGTTGAGCGCTCGTTTTTGTACTGTGACTTGCGCAAGGTTCTCGTCTCTTTTTTGGGCTCTTAGCTCTGTGTGTTTCAGTACATGCAGGGATTTCAGTGTTGGTTATGTTACTGATTAGTTACTAAAATATTTTTGCGGAAGGATGGTCTGTCTTGGTAGTTTAAATTTTCCATTGCAGAAAAGCACATTTAATCTGGAGAATCTAGCAGTCTCTTCCAAGGCTAAAGATATTGTCTGTCTTTCACTTTGCTTCTTAGGACTCTGGAAGAAGCAGCTTCAGTGCCTGTGGTTTATGCCACTGCTTATTATGCTTTGGTGGTTCGAGGTGGTATGAAGAAGGGTGAGAGTGTCCTCATTCACTCTGGCTCAGGAGGTGTGGGCCAAGCAGCCATTGCCATTGCTCTGAGCATGGGCTGCCGTGTCTTTGCTACTGTAGGTGAGCACTGAGGGCCCAGTGTTATGGGGAAAAATACATCTATTTAAAAAGAAAATATTTTTATATATATAAAATTGAGTGAGGAAATGTGTTTGTGCATGCACGTGTGTTATATATAAAAATACATATTTACATGCATACTTTTTTCTCCAAATACGATCTCCTGTAATTTTTTATCTGGTTTCTAGACCGAGAACGGGATACACGGTAAATACAGCTGCTGGCTATGCACTTGAAAATTCCACAGTACAGACAAATTTTTCTACATCTGTACACTATAATCAGAAGTATGGAAGAAGATCAAGGCTTCTTCATTTTCAATTCAGTAATGTGATCAAAAAATATCTATCCATTGTAAGGCTTGGTCTGTTTTTCTGGTCCTTGGTCTATCTCGTAAAATGTGCAGTAACAAATAGACAGCCTTTGTCCTAAGTTTTGACACCTTGAAAGCCTGAGAGCTTTGAAGCAAGTGCTTGATGGCTGCTCAGAACAGTCCCTGAGAAAAGATGTGTAGATGAAAATGGGCTTTTTCATAATTAAAAAAAAAAGAAGTACTGGAGTACTGGCATCATTCAACCTGTCTTCTGTCTTCTACTTCCAGGCTCCACTGAGAAACGTGAGTATCTCCAAGCGAGATTCCCCCAGCTGGATGCTAACAGCTTTGCCAGCTCCCGAAATACTACATTTGAGCAACATATACTGCGAGTTACCAATGGAAAAGGTAAGTTCAAGGAGAATTTTTCCTTCTCTTGTCAGCTATGCCACATTATCCAGTTGCACTTTCTGAAGACAAAATAAGTCCCCAGAATACAAGGCTAGGCTCTCGGCAGAGTTGAGTTGATGAAATAGTTGCGTCTCCTTTCATTGCAGGTGTCAGCCTCGTGTTGAATTCCTTGGCAGAAGAGAAGCTCCAAGCCAGTTTGCGTTGTCTTGCTCGACATGGGCGCTTTTTGGAAATAGGGAAATTTGATCTGTCTAACAACAGTCAGCTTGGTAAGATGGGGTATGAGGAAATGCATCTCATTAGGTTTAAGCAAGCCTGACAGCACAACCTATATACTATCTTACGACAGACTAATCTTCTAACTTAGAAAAGCTTTTAGCTGGAATACTTGTTTGACTTTTATCACTATCATCTTATGTAGTCTTTTCAACAGTACTTTCCTGGGGAAGCATGGCACCCAGCGTTTTTCTGGAAGCCTGCATAAAACATGCAAAATAATTAAGTTACCATCCTCAAAGTCTTTCTTTAAAATCCGTATAGGATGTGCTGTCCACAAAGTGTTTGGACAGGAAAGCAGCATTTGTTTCAGATGGCACTGTTTACCGCTGTGTCTGTTAGCTTGTGGACTTCATAAATCTGTCAGACTTGACTCGTAAACTTTTGGGGGTGTAATGTATCCATTTGTAATAGACGAGTGCACTGTAAAACTTAGCAAATGAAATTCACAGCTATACAAGCTGCAGTTTTGCCCTCTGTTCTGGGTAAATGTGATCATTTGTAGAGTGAAAGTAACTGGAGTTTTTCAGGTAACTACAGAGAACCTGATCTTGAGAGAACCTTTAATTTTTTTGTTTCACTGAGTATTTGTGCCATTTTGAATGGAATACGATTGTTCCAAGTTTGAAGGGATCTGCCGCAATCATCTGGTCCAACTGCCTGACCACTTCAAGGCTGACCAAAAACTAAAGCTTATTATTTAAGGGCATTTTCCATGTGCCTCTTTAAACACCAACAGGCATGGAGCAGCAGTCACCTCTAGAAAGTCCATTCCAGTGTTTGAACACCCTTTCGGTAAAGAAACTTTTCCTGATATCTAGTCTGAACCTCCCCTGATGCAGCTTCGAGCCATTTCCACATGTCCTATCACTGGATACCAGGGAGAAGAGATCAGCATCTCCCTCTCCACATCCCTTCCTCAGGAAGCTGCAGAGAGAGATGAGGTCGCTCCTCAGCCTCCTTTTCTCCTGACTAGACAAACCCAAAGTTCTCAGCTTCTCCTCACAGGTTATTTCTTCCACCCCTGTCACCAGCTTTGTTACCCTCCTCTGGATGGATTTGAGGGCCTTCACATCCTTTTCTAAATTGAAGGGCCCAGAACTGCCCATAGTGCTTGAGGTACGGCCCCACCAACACTGAATAAACGAGGGTGATGCCCTCTCTGGCCTGGCCGGTCGTGGTGTGTGCAATGCACCCCAGAGCGTGGTTTGCCCTCTCAGTGCCAGGGCTCACTGCTGGCTCTGTTGGAGCTGCTGCTGACTGGCACCCCAAGGTCCCTTTCTGCAGGGCTGCTCTCCAGACACTCCTCTCTCAGTCTGTACTCGTGTCTGGCATTGCTCAGTCTCAGGTGCAGAATCTGGCATTCATTCTTGCTAAGTTTCACGTCACTGCCCAGTGTTCCAGTCTATCCAGACCCCTCTGCAGGGTCTCTTGTCCCTTGAGAAAGTCAACAGTACTTCCCAGTTTTTGATGGCACAGGGGCAAGATTAACTTGATTTCTCTTGGATGAGAGCACACATTTTAATGTTATAATGTGATGTGTTAGCGAAAAATTAAAAGAATGCTCCCCTGTTGTAGAATGGTTGCACATAGCAAGTGTTGATTGTCATCTCTTTAATTACGTTTCAAAAGATCTTACTATCATGAAAGGCTTCCTATGAGGAAAAGTTTCCTGTGGCGCTACATAGGATGTACATGGGATTCTAGCTCCTCTTAACTCAGGTGTCACTAGGCACAAAATATCTTTTTTAATATCAGACTGCCCATGTTGTAGCTTGTCCTCTTGATACACAGTTTTTGTGAGTGGAGTGGGCTCTTCCAACCCAAACCGTTCTATGATTCTGTGATTCTAAACTGGCCTGTTCGTAAGAGAACAACCCAATTAATGCAGCATTTAGCAAGAATGAGTTTGGAAAATGTAGAATTTAAGCTACTAATGACTACTTTATCCTCAATCTTACGCTACTGACCTGGTTATGACCTGCTGCTGCTGAGATTGCAAAGCAGAAGATAGGCTGCTTTGCAGTGTCAGCAGCATCAGGTCATAACCAAGTTGCTTTTTTCTAGGAATGGCTCTCTTCCTCAAGAATGTGGCATTTCACGGGATCCTACTAGATGCTATCTTTGAGGAGGGAAACCAAGAGTGGGAAGTAGTATCAGAGTTGTTGAAGAAAGGCATAAAAGAGGGTGTGGTAAAGCCTCTGAGGAGTACAGTCTTCGAAAAAGAAGAGGTAGAAGCTGCCTTCAGGTTCATGGCACAAGGAAAACACATTGGCAAAGTTATGATCAAGGTAATGAGATAATGACTTTGGTTCTCCGTTGCATCTGTCATCCTCTGTAGGTGACTGTATTGGATATTTTGATCCAGTTCAAGTTGAAGTTGTATAACTAGGACAGCACAGTGTTACTGTTTTTACTGCTTACATTGTAACAGATGTAACTGTCAGTTCTGTCACTGTTTCCATAGGGTTCATTCCAATTGGCTGGAGGTGCAGAGCATGGAAAGATGATAAATGCATTGTGTATCTCATCTTTGCTTCTTTTTTTTTACTTAAATCTTTTTTTTGGGTTGGGGGGAAGGTCCAAGAAGAGGAAGAAGAATCTGCTTTAAGAAGGTGTGAACCAGTTAAGATCTCCGCTATCTCCCGAACTTCCTGTCCGCCTGCCAAGTCTTACATCATCACAGGGGGCCTAGGAGGGTTTGGGCTTGAGTTGGCACAGTGGCTGGTTGAGAGAGGAGCACAGAAGCTTATACTGACATCTCGTTCTGGCCTACGAACTGGTAAGCAAAATAAAGGAACAGAGAACGTGACTGCCTTTCAGTGGACCTCAGTTTGTAGTTTTTCTCCATTTTAAAGTGTCCTGTAAGCAAAGAATTCTTGATCTCTTCTTTCCTCTCATGTATGTATTCTCTCCCTTCAAACAAGCTATTGAGGATGTAGCTTGATTTCTTTCCCAACTACTTTCCTCTTTTCTATGCTTCCTAATTCTATCAGCCCGTTTTCCCCCCAGCCAGGATTTTTCTGCAACTTTACTTCTACCCTCTCTACAAAGTCTGTATCCAGCTACCTCACTGTCCTGTCCAATGGCTGTAGCGTGGTGGATCACATGCCACAAGGAAAGGCCTGTAAACTTGCTAAAGATACTCTGTCTCTCAAGTTATGTGTGTGGATGCTTGCTCTTGCTCCTTCAGATAGCTCACCTGTAAAGATGTACCCTACTACTGAATAACATCAGTAAGCATTTTTACTCAGTTTTAAGCCATTGGTTTGGTTACAGTCACGTCATTTGAGATTCCTTATTGGTGGTAGTCTTCAGTGTTTCCTCATACAAATTCAGTCATTACAGAACTTCTCTCTGATTCCTTCTTTTTCTTTGCAAGTTCACAATTGTACCACTTGTGCTAGCACATACATCAAATACTTCTCAAGTTCTGGTTGTGCTACTGTAATCTGTTGCCTTGCTCTAATCTAGCCATTCTTTCCTGTCTCTGTGCCCAAACTCTTGTAAAGTTTAATTTCCCTTTACTTCTCAGTTTTTTCTTCCTTTTCCCCCACCCCTTATGTACTCCCAACTCTGTTTTCCTCTTTGATCTTTTTAGAATATTTCTGAAAGTTAAGTGATTTCTGTCTACTATCCAAGTTTTGTCCGATTTTCATCTTGTAGCTGAATTATTTAGCTATTCAGTTCCTCTTTAGTCAGAAAAATGTAAGGAGCAGGTTAACCAAAGCCCTGTGTTTTGAGTGCTTAATCCCATGCACTGTTCACCTTTATTTTTTGTAGGCTACCAGGCTAAACGTGTTAGAGAGTGGAAGGCACTGGGAATCCAAGTGTTGGTATCTACCAGTGATATTGGAACACTAGAAGGAACACAGCTATTGATAGAAGAAGCTTTGCAGCTTGGCCCAGTTGGAGGCATCTTTAATTTGGCTGTGGTAAGTGACAAAAATGCTTAGGACTTGTAAGAGACAGCAGTCATTCAAGTGGCTTTTTTACTAAGAGCAGTCAGGCTTCATAAAGTTTCAGATTGCCCTCTGTGTTGCAAAGGACGCTTTGCTTTGGCCTTATCTGGTGACTAAGGGCTTACGGGTGTGGACTCTTGATCTGGGAAGCAACGGTGTTTGGCCAGCGGGCTCAGTTCTGGGGCAAGATGGATGTTGCCCAAGATCTCTGGGGACAAGAAAAATTTCATACAGACCTTGCCAGTTGAAGGCTGCAGTGGCAGTATGGAAAAAAAGCAGACTTACTGAAAGCCATGTTGTCTTTGTCGTATTTCAGGACATTCAGGATATATCTGTATTGTAAAGTTACAAAAATATGCATTGTGTAGTGATATCCTCTCATATCTTAAACCACGTGGGAAATCTAAAGAGAACTGGAGATACTGAAACTGCGCTTTCCCCCCCCCCCACCTCCCTGCCTATTCCCCAATAGGTCCTTAGAGATGGCATGATTGAAAATCAGACCCCGGAATTCTTCTGGGAGGTCAACAAGCCCAAGTATTCAGGCACCCTTCATTTGGATTTGTAAGTGTATGATCTTCAACAAGGCCAAGTGCTGGG